CTGGCCAAACTGGGACAATCTGAATATCAAAATTAGTACCAAAATTGAAGAACACTTTAAATAACTAAAGATCCATGAGTCTATAGACACACTCGGAAAAAGAGAGAATGAGAAAGAGAAAAGGAAAGCTCTTCTCCGAAGAGCTAATAAAGATTAAATAACAGAATTAGAAACACCACTATTTTTAATACCCAGTGTAATCATAGATTCCAGCAGGATTATCAATAGATGCTAAAATTATCATAATATTACACAATCTCCCTGCAGGTTACCCACTGTTGCAAATGAAAAAAAAAAAAATGTACCTTTATAACTGAGATATGTGGCGGCTAGCAAAATTAGCATCACTAAGAGTGAGACAATTCTGTGCCTCCTAATGTGATGCAATATGATGCCATATGATATACACAAACAACACCTATGAAGTATCTTTGCCAAAATTGCTTAACCTGAATCTAATCAAGCCTCTAAACCTAACTTGCAGTTTACAGGAACTATATAGAGGGGCATAGAGGAACAAGTTAAATGACTTTGAGAAGACAATAAGACAAATTCAGAATGTGTAATATTTTATAACACAGTTGGTCTGAATGCGTCAACAAATCAATGACATGAAGAAAAAGCATGATTGTTCCAGATTAAAAGTGACATAATAATCAAAACAATACATAAACCTTAACTAGCTTATGATTAAAAAAAAACAAAGCAGCTATCAAATACATTCTTACAATTGAAGAAATTTGAATTTGTACTGAATATTAGCTGATATTAAATTCTTGTTAATTATCTTAAATGTGATAATGGTATTATGATTTTTAGAATATTCTTATACTTAGGAGATGCATATTAAGTATTTAGGGTAAAGTGTCATGATGTCTGCAATTTACTGTCACTGGTTCAACCAAAAAAAAAGTATAACTATATACAGAGAGATAAAACTGAACGTTTGCTGAATCTGAGGGAGAATTATATGAGTATTCACTGTTTTACTCTTTGTACTTTTCTCTATATTTAAAGTTTTTCATAATAAAGTTTTAACAAGAATCTTATGACAAAGACATTATGATATCTATAGTTTAATTTTTAACTTGAAAAAATATAAAGCACAGCTCAAGATCATAAGTAATTTCCTCCAAACAAGAATACGACAGAAGCCACACCACAGCTTCACCTTCGTCTTGTTTGCACACACTAGAGGGACTCTGCTGCTGGCCTTGAAGAATTAAGCTGCTATGATATGAGTGAAGAAACAAACTGAAGGAAAAACAAATTAAAAGGAACCAGAACTAGCCAGAGCAACTAGGCAAGAAATATAAGTAAAAGACACTCAAATTGAAAAGGAAGAAGTAAAATTATATCTGTTCACAGATGATATAATCTTATATGTAGAAAGCCCTATGGATTTCGCAGTAAATTATTAGAACAAATTCATCAAAGTCGCAAGATACAAAGTCAATGTTCAAAAATTGGTTAAATATATAATAAACAACACGAAAAGGAAATTAATAAGACAATTCCATTTACAATAGCCTCAAAAAGAATAAAATACTTATGAATTAATTTAACCAAAGCAGAGAAAGATTTATATAATGAAAACTATAAAACATTGCTGAAAAAAATTAAAGACATAAATAAATGGATAGACATTATATATGCATTGATTGAAAGACAATATTGTTAAGATGTCAATACTACCCTAAGTAATCTACAGGTTCAATATAAACCCTATCAAAATCCCAGTGATGGTTTTTGCAGAAACAGAAAAAGTCATCCTAAAATTCATACGGAATCTCAAGGTATCCCAAATAGCCAACAAATTTAAGAACAAAGCTGAAGGACTCCTATTTCCTAATTTCAAAATTTACTACAAAGCTTTAGTAATTAAACATTGAAGAAATACATGAAAACAAACATAAGACCAATGGAAGGGAATTGAGTCCAGAAAGAAATCTTCACTCATATGGTCAAATGATTTTTAACAAGGGTACCAAGATTATACAATGGGGAAAGGACAGTCTTTTCAACAAATGGTGCTAGAAAAACTGGTTATCCACATACAAAAGAATGAAGTCAGATTCTAACCTAACATTATATATAAAAATTAACTCCAAATGGATTCATAACTTAAACTTAAGACCTGAAATTATAAAACTCTGAGGAGAAAGCAAAGGACAAAAGCTTCACAACACTGAATTTGGCAATGATTTCTTCCATCTGGCACCAAAGGCACAGGCAACAAAAGAAAAAAGAGACAAAAGGGACTTGATGAAAATTTGTAAATTTTGTGCATCAAGACACTATCAACGATTGGGGGTGGGGTGAGTATTTAATGGGGACAGGCAGTCAATTTGGAAAGATAGAAAGTTCTGGAGATGATGGTGGTAACAGTTGCACAATACTGAATGTAATGCCACTGAATTACACATTTAACAATGGTTAACATTGTTTAAAAAAAAAAAAGACACTGTTAACAGAATAAAATGGCAACCCATAGAATGAGAGGAAATATTTGCGTATCACATATCTGAAAAGGGATTAATATCCAGAATATATAAAGAGCTAAAATTCAACAACAATAAAACAAAAAATCTAATTAAAAAATGAGTCAAAGACTTGTATAGCCATTTCTTCAAAGGTAATATACAAATAGGCAGCAAGCACATGAAAAGATACTCAACATCACTAATCATTAGGGAATACAAATCAAAACTACAATGAGATTGTAGTTTTGGTACCACTTTATACCCAGTAGCATAGGATGGATGGATGGATGGATGGATGGATGGATGGATGGATGGATGGATGATAGATAGATAGATAGATAGATAGATAGATAGATAGATAGATAGATAGATAGGAAGCAGGAAATAATAACAAGTGTTGGTGAGGATGTGAAGAAATGGGAGCCCTTATGCACTTCTGATGATAATATTAGATGGTACAGCTACTATGAAAAACAGTATGGCAATTCTTCAAAAACTTAAAAATAGAATTCCCAAAAGAATTGAAGCCAGAGTCTCAAAAAGATATTTGTTTTTCAGTATGGAGGTTCCTCAAAAAACTAAGAATTGATCTACCATACAATCCAGCAATCCCTCTACTGAGTATTTACCCCAAAGACTTAAAAAATCATATCCATAAAGATATTTGCACACCAATGTTCATAGCAACATTATTCACAGTGGCCAGGACATGGAAGCAACCAAAGTGTCCTACAATAGATGACTGGCTAAAGAAGCTGTGGTACATATATACAATGGAATATTACTCAGCCATAAGAAGAGATGAAATATTGCCATTTGCGACAACATGGATGGACTTCAAGATAATCATGCTAAGTGAAATAAGCCAGACAGAAAAAGTTGAAAATCACATATCACTTATATGTGGGATATAAACCTAAAAGCAACAAAGGAATAGGACAAACAAACAGAGACTCATGGACATGGTCTATAGACTAGTGGTTACCAGAAGGTAGGGAGTGGGGGAGGAAAGGGGAGATGGGGTAAAGGGGGTCAAATTTAGAGGGGTAGGAGGAGGGTGAAGTGGGTAAAGGAGATCAAATATACTGTAGCTGAAGGAAACTGGACTTTGGGTGGTAAATACACAATAGAATATACAGATGTTAAATTATAATGTACACCTGAAAATTATATAATTGTATTAACCAATGTTACCCCAATAAATTTAATTAAAAAAAAGAGATTTGTTTTTAAAGATAATACATGTTCATAGTAACATTATTCACAAGAGCTAAAACATGAAAGCAACCCAAGTGTCGATGGATGAATGGATAAGCAAAATGTTGTATAGACACAAAATGGAATATCATTCAGCCCTAAAAAGGAAGGAAATTCTGACATATGCTACAACATGGATGAACCTTGAAAACATTAAGGTGAAATAAGCCAATCACAAAAGGCAAATTCTGTATGATTCCATTTCTATGAAGTATTTAAGAGCAGTCAAAAATCATGAGAAAGAAAGCAGAATGGTAGCTGCTGGGGCCAACGGGGAAAGGAAAATGGAGAGTTATTGTTTAATATGTATAGACTTTCAATCTTGCAAAATGAAGAGTTCTGGAGATGGATGATGGTGATCACTGCACAACAATATGAATGTTATTAATGCCACTGAACATTTAAAAATGGTTAAGATGGTAAAGTTTGTCATGTGTATTTTACCGTAATACAAAAAAAATTTGAAGGGAAAAAAAAAAGGAACCAGACCTGGATGGCCTTAAAACTTCTCAGCCTTTCCAGATGGCAAAAGATACTAAGATTAAGAAATTCACTATGAGGAAAGGACACTCTAATGAAAAGGCCAAGGGTATAACTGTGCAACATTTTGCTAAAATCTTACAAACACCAATAGGTCAGAATATCCAGTCATACAAAAGGCCCTTTCAAGAGAGTAAAGGTATGTCTCACATATCTTTTCAATCAAACCAGAGGGCACCTAGGAAGCGTAAAGGTATGTATGGTTCCTTAGCCTTCTCAGCAGGAGATCGGGTAGAGAAGGGGCTTATCTTCAAAATATTTGTATATGTGGCTTTTGTCTAATGGAGTGAATCCCACTGAAATCCACAGAAGACCCACAAAGTTCGTGAGAAAATTATGTTGGCAGAAACATTGTTTGGACTAAAAACAACAGATAGTACAAAATGAAAGGAGGCTGTCAGACCCTCAAAAGTCTACTGGCAGGAAGCAGACAGGATAAAACTACTCAGCAGCCAACATATATTGCCTTTCATGAAAAAGGAAGGATAACCCAGATGGTGAAGCCAATTACTCAGGGAGGCACAGCGCTACTCAGCTTCCAGGTACTTTCCTATATTCCTCTCCACCTTGGTTGTTCGCTCTGAGTTTGCCATTGTCTAATCTGCTTCCCAGTCCCAGTCAGGGACCTTTCTTATCTAGTCATCAGTCATCTCTACAGCCCTGCTTAGGATCCTACCTTGTTCCATTCTCCTGGTCCAATTATCCCCCAAATCCCATCCCTTACCTACCTTAAAAAGTTTCTGGGAGTGTTTAATCATAAAAGCCATCCCGTTGTTTAACTTTGTGATATTCTCTTGAAGGTCATTTGCAGTGACCTATTCAGAGGAAAAGAAACCAAAAAAGAGAAATTAAGAGCTGAAAAATGGAAGGGAGACACTCCATTTACTTACCAACAAGCTTATTCTTTAAAAGGTATGATCAAGTTTCTGTCCCTAACAAAGGTGCCTCTCATACAATGTTTAATTCTAGAAAGGCTTTTTGGTTCA